GTGAAATCAGGTATTTTAGGCCGCATTAATCCCAAAAGAGCCTGCAAAATTCTGGAGGGATTGTAAAGAGGTGGCGTTACATTATGTAGGCTGTGTTGTGGATTCTGTGTTTTTCATCAGATAATGATAAGGTATAAAATGACAAAAGATTATTGGTTTCAGCTAGACTATTTAGACTGAAATGTTCAATATATTCTGAAGACTGTAAAGACTAAAATTGGGAACTATTTGGTCTCTGTAAGTCATTTTAGAAAGAATACAGTCTAAAGCTGCTCTATAGGAAAAGTGTAAATTATGTTATTTGTATGTATAGTTGAATTGAAATCAAAACATCAGATTTCATTGACTAATACTAATGTAGTTAGTTTTTCTGGTAAAACTACAATGCCCAGACAGACAGAACAGAAGAGATTGACTAAATATGATTAAAAACTAACAAGGACATTTGACAAAAGACAGACTGAATAAAAAAATAATGCTGACAAAATGAACACTAATTGAAGTGTTATAGCGTCTCCGCATAAAGACAGCTTCTTTCATTTGTCCGTGCTCATTGTCTCTGCTCTGTGCAGTTATATTAGGCTCTGACCATCTTCTCTCTCTGTCTTTGTCTCGTGCTTTCGTTCACTCTCATCCCATCCAGGGGTTTCTTCCCAGTTGTAGTAGGCTTTATCAGAAGAATACCTGTCCTTGGCTCAATCCTCAACCTGCCCTTCATCAGTGCAGTAAGTATTACCCAGCAATGCGGCAACGCTGCAGCTCTGCTTTGTTTACATGCAGCATGGCTCCTCTTTCTTGTTTATTAATCACCCTGTTCAAACACCACGACCACAACAGATTAACCAAAGTGGCCCGATCAAATGACAGCTCTGCACATCACAGACGGTTTAATAAAGCAATGCTTTCTGTCTGCCTGGGCCAGTAATCCACTTGGAGACTGCCTGAAAACACAGATGAATTCAAAGGACTAAAAATCCGTAGACATGACGGGAATGTTGTGGAATTTCAGCAACAAAAAGGCAGAAATGATGTCGGGGTCCTCTAGGCTTTACCTCCAGTCTGTAAGACATATGAAGTCTCCAATGGCGACTGTCACTGAAATCTAGAAGTACAAGTTAGCAGACGCATAGTTAGCTTTGTGGCTAATGAACATGCTCCTACCATGCTGTTGTGAGGGAAGCTTTGCTTTGAGGTGAATGTCTCTCTGTCTTTGTGTTTTTATTAAAGCCTTCGTAAGGCTCTGAGGACAATCAGCAGTCGTGGTCAGTCACTGCCGATTTTCCCTTGCATGCTAACATTTAACACGCTTTACAATATATTTACAATAAACAGGAGTCTCATGATAAAAGGGAAATTATATTTTTTGTTTATGGAGCTGGTAATCCTTTTTTTTTATCTTAAAGCTGCAGTAGGTCACAATTTTTTGTCATGGAACTTGATTTTTTTAACAAATTATCTGTCTCATGTTCGACTGTCAGGATATAGTGAAAGTTTCAGTAAATATGACAAAATATTTTATAAAAGTTACCTACTGCACCTTTGATTTATTTATTTGACTTTAAAGGCACACACTACAGGTAAATATAGTGATTTGTGAATTGGTTAATCTTTATACATTCTATTTTCTTCTATAACTCAATCTTACAATGTATACTTCAACTGTACAAAGCACAGAACTATGAAGTCCACGTTAATTATTTAATTGCACTTTCCACATCTTTGCAGACCTTCCTAGAATTTTTTAGAGGATCTGGAAAGTTGCACAGCAAAATTCATCTGTGTCCTCAGAAAATAAAGTTTGATGGCATACTGAGTACTAGCAGGGCTAGTTGGTGAGCTACAAGCTCACTGGTAACATACTGGTTATAATCTGCCTCAAAAGCTGGCTTGTTACTGTAGCTAACCAGTAAAGCTAAAAGAAATAGTGAAAAAAGACTATAGAAACTAATATTAGTACTACCAGCTGTTGTCTCTCATTTCTTTGTGAAGCACTTTATCCTAAACTATATTAAAGTGGATAACTGAAAACTTCTTCTATTTTGGACCAGGATGCTCTTAAGAAACGGCTACAACAAGCAGATTTATGTGTCTGTCACCCAACAAAAGACTTATTTCCTCTAACTCTGTTCAGAATGTACGGCTGAAGAATTATCTGATCATCAGAGTAAAATGTGAATGTTGTAAATCTAATAAATATAGCAACTTCTGATCAACCCATATACGTTTCAGGCTTACATTAACAACAAATTCTATAAATACTAATGCGGACAATTTAGTTGGTTAACCAAATAGACATTTTTCAAAATAAAAACCCCTAAAACATTCCTCAAAGGTCACCTTGTCAAGAAGGTTTATAATTGACCCTTCCAAAGTCCCACCCTATTTTAGGATGTGATTCAGTAACAATTGAACTAGCTCAGTAGGCAGCAGACACTTCGTTAACCTTCTCTTTTCTTGTACTTAGATATGCTATACATATACATAGTTACAACTTAAGTAAGTAGTTAGCGTACCATTGATGTATATTAGCTAGCTAATTAGCTAGCATTAGGTAACATTAGCTAGGGAACTTAAGATGCGAGTGTCACTTTTATCTGTTTATTTTGAATATAGTTAAAAGATAAAATATAGTCACATCTTAAGTTTGCTAATGTTAGAAAAAAACTAACCAACTAACTAATATTAGATGTGGATTACTAGTTAGGTAGTCTGTAGCAAAACGATAGCTAACTAACTGGCTTCAGCTAACAAGCTAATTTCAAAATGTAGTTGTCTAGACGAGCCAGGCATATAGCATATCTAAGTACAGGAAAGGAAAAAATTGACTTAGGGTTGCTCAAATGTTATTGGAGTAAAAAGGGGCGGGACTTAGGAAGAGTCAATTGGTCCACAGTGCCCATTCAAAGTTCATTAAGTTGAACCCCATTGATCACTGCTTCTCCAATCAAATAGCTTCACTCTGACATTTCTATTATAAATGCTGGTGTTATCAGGCATTTTGTTGACACACTCATTAAAGGCTTGGATTGTTGTTTTGAGATATTACAAATGAGACCATCAGAAATTACCTAAACAAATTCTTGTGTTCTTTAAATTGTTCACTGTTAAATTTTCAATAATATCCCCTCTAAATAATTTCCAAATGTTAATAACAAAACAACCAAAACTTTGATAACAGGAAGTAATTGTGTTTGTCCTGTTCACCTGTGGTGTGTCTCCTTAAGTCATGCATGCTTTCCGTTATAATGTGCTTCAGGATGGTGGGCAAACCGTGCAGTCCAGGCATCGGTTCTCACACTAACTTGCATTAACATTTTGCATCTCATCGACCGTTCACAGGTCTGTGTCAGATCATGCTTTGTACACAAGAGAAGCTGAGAATCACCCAGATGACACTCAACACTGTTTCTCTCTTTTCTTTCAGTATGTGGACAAAGTGGGTGAGAGCAACACCATGGTATAACAGAGACTTTTTGTACCCAGAGAAGGCTGTTTGAGTACAGCAGGTTTTCTAAAACACACCCATGGGGCTAATTTAAAGCAGGCTTTATGTTCAGATTCCTCCCCCCACCCTCCAGCAGGTAAAGACTGCTTTCTGTCTGTCTGTAATTTCACTGGTCAACGCTACCAATCGAAGGTTCATCAGAGCGTTACACCACCAGTCTGTTACTAAAGGGTGGAGTTACTAAGGTCACTACAATAAATATTTCTAATGCTATTGATCCCTCTGCCGTTGAGTGCCTCTGGCATGAAAATGGAGGATGGAAGACTCTCTTAACAAAGCACCATCGACTCTGTCTACGTGACTTTCTTACTCCGTGGAATAAAACCGACAAAACTAGCAACCCTCCACAAGGATGAGAAGTGGACCGACAGCTTGCCATATTGTCACATTTCTGTGCCTGTGCTTTAACGTTATTTGGAGGAAAGCTTTGAAGTCCAGCATTTTGTCTCTTTATTCTGTGACACTTTGTTTCTTTTTGTCTCGCAGCTATTTGAATACCAAGTGTGTCTATGGTAATATCTTCCCTTTGTTATATGTCATTTCTGTTTACGGTTGGCTAATCAGTATAAATTATTTTTAAAAATATGAGTACTTCACTTCATGTAAAGTGAGGTGTTATGGGATCATACTTGTATTTGTTACGATTATTATTGCTACTAGTATTTAAGTCTGGTGGAAGGTTGCATTGGTATGATATTTTTACAGTACAATAACTGAGAAAATAGCACGGTTTCACGGTATTCAGTGTAACACAATTATTATTATTATCAGTTTAAATTACCCTCGAAGGAATGAAAACAGGGGTTTTGTGATTGAAGAAATCAATATACTTTCACAAAATTCAACCAATCCCTATGAATTCTGCGCGTTCTGCAGCAGTCCCTGCCAAAAGGTCACCAAACTACTAGCAATTCCCTCCAGGAATTAATTATTACATTTAAAATAATTATATATATTTTACTTTCTATAATGCCTAAAAGAAATCAACATGCATCACAAATTTTTCATTCAATATTGTAGATATTGTAGATAACTGCTAATTTTTATACCAGGGTATATCTTGAAACCGCTGCAACCGTAGTCTGGTCGCACCAGAAAGTGCCAACACCTAATTCACAATGACAGACAGATTCCTCCAGGTGGTGCTAGGAGCTTGGTAATGTAGTGACTACCCACAAGGCTAGCTAGAACGGTTAACACTCTGTCCAGCCAGGAGCATGCTGGTGCTAGTCTTGTCACAAAAGCTCTTCAAGCTAGCTTGTTTGGGGTCATCCCTATGTTCCCCGGGTCCTATGTTCCCCGCTAAGGTTAGGGTTAGGGTTAGGGTTCCCCGGTCCCATACAAAGCGGGGAACATAGGTACGCTCCCCTTGTTTGCTGTCAACAGCAAGCTAGGTAGCTCAGTCGTAAACCGGAAAATACTGTAGAGTTTATTCAAGAAACCTCCTGTCTCATAACTGTCTACACTCCGTGTGTCTTTGGTAGAACTGTCCACAGAGTGACAGTGGATGGTGCAACAGCTAATAGACTAGCTGTCCAACGGTCATTCTTGTTATGACGATTTGCTGCCATGTAAAAGCTGTTTTAAATGCTGGTGTGACCAGAACTGCCTTTTGGTTTTTTTCAGAGCACATCATCAGTTTTTGGAGTTCCTATCTTCCAAGCAGCTGTTGGTTTCACCTCATTTTAGTTAGAAGAGACTAAACTTAGTCTTATTGCTAGTACAGCTGCAACTAAATATTATTTTCATTATCAATTCATCTGTCATTTTCTTGTTTAATTGATTCATTGTATTGTCCATAAAATATCACCAAACGCTGAAAAATATTGACTGAGATTTTTTAAAGCCCATGGTGATGTCCTCAAATGTCTTATTTTGTCCATAACCCAACAATATTCAGTTTACTGTCATAGAGGACAAAGAAACCATAAAATCCTATTTGAAAAGCTGAAATCAGAGAAGTTTCTGACATTTCTTTCTTAAAGTGACCCAAAGCAAATAGTCAATTATCAAAATAGTTGGCAATTCATTTAAAAGTTGACAGCTAATCGATTAATTAACTAACTGTTGCATGAAACATTTTTAGGGTAAAGTTAGCTTCTTTTGTGGTAAGTAGCAACCTTTTTTGTTTCCCAGAAAAGCACTAAAACATTAAAACTTGGAAACATTTTCAAAGCTTAACATCCATGGTAATTGATTATATGAAGCAGCATGCTGTAATTCTCTGCAAGTTTATTTTCATAGCATACTGAAATGAGCTGACATCAGTGGCTGGCTGGAAGGATCTAGAAATGTATGGTAAGCTTTGGAAAATGGTCTGTAAAATAATTTGTTTTTAAATCATATTTGTGGTTTATTTCAACTTGGTTTTATTAAAGCCACAACTATGAAAATATGGCCCAAGTTGTAATAAACGTATCAGAAAAATTCTGATTGATTCAGATCATTTAGAGCAAACAAATGAACTCTTTTCAAACTGGAGAATTAACACTCTACCCTGTAACAATATCAAACTAAAATGTGAAGCAGCTTCACATATTTGTGGATCTTTTCTATCGAAATGAGCAATAGTTTGATCAGACCCAGAGAATCCCTCTAGGGGCTAGAGTCAAAGTCTCTCCTCATTCATTTGTTCGTCTAGGGTCCTTAAACTCTCTGTTGAGCATTAAATGTTCAAATACTCCTGAGAGAAAGAGAGAGAGAGAGAATTCTTCATCTTGGCAGACATCATCCACCGCAAGCCAGGAACCTGTTACCTGTGAAATGACAACGTTTTTCTTGTATGGCACTTTTTTAAATATACGATGGAAGTTAGCTTTGTATCTGCCATCCGTGTTGTTTGTGTTCATTTATTCCTGTCATGTCATTTACTCTTTACATGCACTCTAAATCAGATTTTTCATTATCCATATACCCTATATTTATTTATCCCTCCAGTAAAGCCCAGTCCACTCACTTGGAGAATCTCTGACAAAGATAAAGCTATAGATGTTTTTATTGATAGTTGTAATCTTTTTTGGGAACACTCCGCTCTCTTTAAAAGCGATGGTCTCCACCCCAACCACCGTGGCTCACAAATGTTGGCCAGTAACATTTTACTCAACGACATCGCCATCACCGCTCTGCCTCCTGTGACCACTCGGCAGCCAGGAACAGAGTGGACATCTCCGTCACTGATTGACCCCCACAGGGGCTACGTAACATACATTCTGTTTCTGGGTCAATATTAGAGGATACCGCAGTGCTTGGCCTATCAAAATACAGCCAATATTCCAGTGATTATAAGAAAAAGAGTGAAGACAGTAAAGCTTTGGATTAGTCCCAGAGGCAATAATTATCATAATCTTAAAACCCACTGTCTGCACCTCACTCTGCTAAAAGTAGCCCTCACATTCCCACTGTAGCCAGGTTTGGACTTTTGGAAGTATTTTATCTGCCACAATTTTATTAATTCTATTTATTTATTAATCTATGTGGACTTCTTTATGATTACTGAAACCTGGCTTAGCCAAGGCAATTTTTCTCCACTGACTGAAGCTCCACCTCCTAGTTTGAATCACTTCCAACAACACAGGCTATCTGGTCATAGCGGTGGAGTAGCAGTCATTTACAAAAACCATATAAAGTGTGCCCCCATCTATATATGTCCGTGTCTGACTATAGGGTGATTGTATTTGACGCTCCACTACTTCCTTCTGTCTTTAGGCCATCCTCTCCACCCAGCTGTCTTTAATGCAACCTCTGCGTCCAAAATCCTCTGATTATGGGTGTGTTTTTGGTTGTATTCTGTCTCCGGCATATATTGCTACTTTTTTATGTGTATGTAAAGCATTTGTAAACATTGTTTTTTAAAAAGTGCAATACAAATAAAGTTATTATTATTATTATTTAAATTTTAATGAGAGAAGCTCATACAGGTACTTTGTGTTATTTTACTGGTGGTCAATATTAAACCTATAGACCTATTAAAGGTCTTTGCCAATAATAGCAGAAAATATAGCTTTTTTCTATGGCCAGTCAGGCAAACAATATGTTACTGATATGTCGCTATATGGGCGTTGTTTTTAAGTCTGCATCTATCAAAATCGACAAATCTAACATATACAACATATATTACATATATATACTATTATACTACATATTCTCATATTTCATATTTATCTGTCACTTTTTCTGTTAAGACATTTTATTTCGCTGTTTTACGTTGTCTGTCCAATGTGTTACTGTAATTATACCGCTGTGGTTTTATCTCCACTTCCTACGTTACATTAAGCTGTTTGCAAGGTTCATTATCAGAAGGTAGGTCAGCTCAGTTTATGTGAATTATTAAGGTTAAAATACCCTCTACTCTACACTGTCAAACCAAACCACGTTATAACAGCAGCTGTTTTATGGTAGGGCCATATTTTATCGCTGTAAAAACTTTATTTACACCATCACTGAGACTGGAACACATGTCATTTACTCAGTAACATCATTAAACTAACCTGTCATCAAGTGTGCCAGACGGACAGCATTATTCAATTCAATCAATTCAATTTTATTTGTATAGCGCCAATTCATAACAGAAGTTATCTCAGGACACTTTTCAAATAGAGCAGGTCTAGACCGAACTCCTTATAACATTTACAGAGACCCAACAGTACCACCATGAGCAAGCACAGAACAACGCTGTCATGGCGGGATAATCCGCACATCATTTGTTATGTAACCATTTTGTTTCTATGAAACTAAATAAATATTTGACAGCCAGCAGACAGCCACAAAAAGGTTTTTTTATGTAGCCTTCATTTGATCATCTCATATTTCACACTAAACAGAAAGATAGACACATACATGACTAAACACATGCAGCAAATTAAAGTTTCACAGCAAAAAAAGGGACAGAGACATAGATAGAAAAACTAAAATATACATTGATGCAAACACACACACACACACACAAAATGTATGCAAGATACATACTGTATAAAGTGAGAGGACAAGGAAAAACATTTAGTGGAACAAAGAAAAGAAAGACTTTGGACACAGAAAAAAAAACACTTTCAACTGACTGCAGGAAACTTAGTAAAAAGCAGATGACTTCAATAATGGATTGGAAACTCTTCAGTCATGTCAGTGTGAGTCATTGATCAGACAAGAAATATGATTGGACCAAAGAAATAAATGTAAGCTTTTTGAATAACCTAGCACCAATAAATCATTCAGCCCAGATAAAACTATGTCTTTTTTAGATATCCCTGCATTTACTTTACCCAGGAGTTGAAATTTAACAAATCAACTATTCATCTGCATTAAATCAGATCTAGTGCAATGAGCCTGAACAAACAAAATGAAACTTTGACCTGAATATGGCATGAGCTTGTCTCATCAGGTTTGTAACCTAATAACTATGTGACTTATGGAGCTTGACAAGATTTCCTCCCAGCTCACTGTTGGTATTTTAAAACTTAACAACACCTTGACATAAAGATGAATATTAAAAGCATCAACACTGAGCTGGGAGGAAATTTCCACATTAGGGGTGCCTGGGTACTGATTATAAACTCACTGCTGGATGGGTGCAGAGTCAGTGCTGGGAGAGAACTACAGTATACACATTGTTGTACTGGGTGATATGTTCCTTTATTACCATGCACACACACAAACACTGTAGTTTATTTGGACCCAGTCCCACATACACCTTCCTGCTGCCACAAATACTCACCAG